CATCTGGCCCAGCCCATTAGGATATTCGCTCGGTTGCGCTCGCCGGCTCGTGCCGTTCGCTGCTCACTGCCCAGAAAAGAAAAACTAATAACGGCTGGTTCTGAAAAAAACAACATACACGTTTTTGAAAAAAAAAGGAAATATAGCTTAAAAAAGTCGTCGACACACAGCGGTTTGCTGGGAAATTGGAACAGTTCTCAAATTTTAAAAAAATTGCAAAGTTAAAAAATCATGAACTTGAGAAAACATCCACGCATGAATTTGACAAAAAAGTTCATGAGTCTGAAAAGATTCAGAAATTTTGAAAAATTCATGAAGTTGCAAAAAGGTTCACGAATTTGATAAAAGTTCGCGAACTTGGCAAACATTCATGAATTTGTAAAAAGATAAGCATTCATAGAAAAAGTCATAAAAAAGGAAAATATAAAAATAAAAATGAAACAGAAAACCAAAAACGAAATCAGCTGGAAGCTTCTGAAAGCATCACAAACCCAGCAGGAAACTTATAGAAGCATCACAACAAAGCCGGTCGAGGAACGTAAACCAGCAGATCATGAGGTAGGGCCCTTAGGCTAGGCGTCCGGGTGCGATGGTAACAACACAAAAGTTTACCAGGTTTGCGCTATCTGAGAAGATAATACCATACGTCCTGCTTGTGTTTATTGTGTTGGGTGTGTACAAGTACATGTATCTAGCAAGAGACTGCGAGTATAAGAATTCATGTTCTACGAGCAGGCCCTACTAAAGAGAGTCCATGTATTTAAAAATCAAAATTTGAACATGAACAAAAATGGACATTGTTAAAAACAAAGAAAAGGAGGAGAAAATATATGAAAATAGAAAATAAGGTGCTTTAACAATGCTCAGAGTTGAACGTCTTGTCTTGACATCTCATAGACATGATTGCACGGGCAGGAGAAGGCAGCAGCACACCATACAACCACGTGTCATCTTCTTTTCTGGAACCTCCAAACGGCGTGTGGTTTCTTACCAAGTGTTCTTCCCTTCGCAAGGAAGGTTCCCATGCGTCCAATCAACATAGATTAAAAAAGGATTTTTTAAAATATGCTCCAAATCTCCTTATTCTGGAGGTCCTGGTGAAATGGGACAAAAAGAACGGGGTTGAAAGATCAAACTGTGGTAGTTTCTTGTCCCCTCTCCCCTCCCCCTCCCGAGGCGCTCCCGCGGGCGCCCTTGGGAGGGAACCCTAGCGCCGCCGCCTCCGTCCCTCCGCCCCTTCCTCCCTCCCTCGCCGCCGCCGGTGGCGTCGCCGGCCAAAGGCCGCGTGGCGCAGGCGGCGGCGGGGCGGCTCTCTCCCTCGCGCGGGTGGCGGACGTCGCGGGGCGGTCTCCCCTGCTCGGTGGCATCGGGCGCAGGCTTGCCTCTGCTCCGGCTTCCTTCCTCCGCTTCGCTCTCTCGTGACCTGCCGGCGTCGCCTCCTCTCCTCCTCCCCCCTCCTCGTGGGGCTCTGGAGGCCCTGGGGTGTGCTGGCGGCGGATCTGGAGCCCCCTGCCGAGATCCGGCGGGTGCTGGCGGTTCGCCGCTGTAGGGGCGACCGGCGGCCCCTTCTAAGGTGGTGGTGGTGCAGCCGGGGTTCTTCCTCTCCGGCGGGATGGCTGGGCACCGGCTGGACCTGGCCAGGGCATGGAGACGCGGGGGGTGTGTGCGTGCGGCCGGTCTCTTGCTGGATCCGGCCGGATCTGGCGTTGGGGGCCTGCTTGCGGCGCGTGGTATCGGTGGTGCGTGCCCGGCGGCTCCGGCGCTTGGAGCTCGCCGGGCGACGCGGGTAGGGTAGCGGCCGGGCGTGGCCGCTGCTTCGGGCGTGGCCGCTGCTTCGGCCGTGGGCCGCGGCGTGGGGAGGTCGTGGTACTCTCCCGGTGTCGTTGCGGCTTCACGGTGGTTGATGGATCTGTCCGCGGCGGCGGCCGGCTTCTCCGGCGTCGGCTCATCTGTGTTCGGGCCGTCTCGGCCTTCGCCCCATCTCCTTGTCGTCTGGGCTTTACTCCCATGAAAGGGCTGATCCTCTTCTAGCTGCGGTCTACCGCTCATCTCGCGCCCGGTGCTGCAGGACCGAGCTCGTCTCACGCACGATGCAGCAGGACTGAGCTCGTCTCGCGCACGGTGCAGCAGGACTAACCTCGTCCCCTTTTCGGTGCTGCAGGACCAAGCTCGCCTCGCGCACGGGGCAGCAGGACGGGCGGATGGATGCCAGTTCTGGCCGACCTATCGGGTCTCGACGTTGGGGGTCGCCCAGGGGTGTGAAAGGTGGGACCTTTCTGCTCGTCTCTTTAGTTGGGGTTGCGGCGGGTCTCGGGTGAGGTGGTGTCAAGGTCTTGGATGCCGGGGTGGTGGCCCTGGTGGTGGTGGCGCGGTGCTCTTGGGCAAAGCCCGTGCCTTGGTGATGCCTGGTCATCATGGCCGTGTGGGCGGCGTGGTTGCCGGGGTGTGGCGTTCGGTGGCGGTGAGTGTTGGCCGAGGTGAAAACCTGCTCTATCTTCGGACGGACCGGCGACGGCGGAGATCGTTCCCTTCTTGAAGGCGTCGTCGCGGCTCTCATTGCCCATCATGCGGCTCCAGGGGAAATTCTGATCCTTGGATCGAGCGGTGGCGGCGCTCCGGTGTCGTACCCTTCCTGAAGGCACCGCCTTGAATCACATGGTCCGTCATATGTAGCTTCATCTCTTCGTAGTGGTAGTGCTAGGGGTGGTGTTGCTGCCTCAGCGCCTATGTATCCTGTCTTGGGTGTGTGCGTGTGTTGCGGTGGTGTGTATTTGTACTGGGTGCTTGTTGTGATCGGTGCTTTATATATAAAGCGGGACGAAAACCTTTTTCGGTAATGGGACAAAAACACTAAATAGAAACATGATGCAAAATAGCTTGTGTGTGTTCCTCACGTCCGAAGATGAGATGGTGCTATTGTTAGCCAAGTAGCTTGTGCTGATCGGGGTGTTTGGAGAGGGAGCACATGGATAATAATGGAACTAGTTTGCGAGGAGAAAAAGGACGGGTGAAAAAGACCAACAATGTTATCCGCCTCTGGCTTTAGCTAGCCAGTTTACAACTGAAACATGACCCTTAAAGTTTAAAGCATGTGCAAACCATATTTGCTTTGAAAATTGTTGCGATACTATACTTATTAATAGATTATTAGTTAGTTATCCTCGCAGAAAAAGTTTAATTATTACAAAATGTACAGAGCATGGCATTTCTGGATTAGGCTATATCGAGTAAATTGCAGAAAACCACCACATTACAGCATAGGTTTACAGAAAACACTCTTCTACGAATTTATGCCAGAAAGCACTAATTTTGAGCTTAATCTTTTGCAGAAAACACTGACCCGTCGCTTTGAGCATTTTAACCTTGATTATGACATGTGAGGCCTGTTTTTTATGACCTGGCGTAACGGTTCGGGCTAGACGTTGTTAAATTCTTATTTTTGCCAAAAGCCCCTTCCTGAACACACAAAACAACCAACCTACCCCTGTCACTCGTGCATGCTCACGCGCCCCGCCGCCAGCAACCACTGGCCCCGTCCCAGGCAGGCCTACTCACGTCGCCGCCCCTCCTCTCGTCCCTGAACTCTCTCTCTCTCTCTCTCTCACCGCTACAGGTTGTGCCGCCGGAGCACACAACACGTGTCGCCCCCCAAATCCTGCCCCCTCGCCGGTCTTCTGCTACCCGCCGCTGGATCGAGCTCCGCCGGCCGCCAGAAACCGTCAGATCTGGTGGGCGTCATCGACCTCAGGCCGCCCCTGCATCCGCCTCGTCAGCCCGAGGGGCGCCTCGTCGCCCACCTGCACCGAGTTCCGCAACAGCCATGCCACACAAGAAGCGCACGCAGCAGCTAAGGTCTTGCCGCCGGCGGCCAAGAACACCAGCTCCCGCGGGCCTCCGCCGGTCAAGACCACCAGCCACCACGGGCCGCCACCTCCGGCCAGGACCAGCAGCCGCCGCTAGCACCTCGACCCGTCGCCCTGTCTCCTCCAACTCCGCTCAGCAGCAGGGCCTTGCCGGACTGCATCGTAGCCAGCCTCCCAACGGCGGTTGCCAGTGCCGGAGATGGGCGAGGCGACGGCCTGGACTCCGCCTCCCAGTGCCGGAGGCGGGCAACAACCTCGAGCCCGAGCTCGGGCCTGGACGCCGCCTCCCAGTGCCGGAGGCGGGCGACAACCTCGAGCCCAAGCTCGGGCCTAGACGCCGCCTCCCAGTGCCGGAGCCGGAGGCGGCGACGGCGTGCTGAGAGTGGGGTGAGGCAGCCGGCAACAAGGGCCTGATTGCCTTTTCCTACTCTAATTAAAGGGTGTCTATGCAAAACTACCAGGGACTACTTGGTAATTGCATATCACATTTTGTCTAACGCCTTCTGGGACCAACAGTTACACCCCATCAGTTTTTGTGGGACCTACCTGTCATAATCGAGATTAAAATGTCCAAAGAGACTGATTAGTGTTTTTTGCAAAAGATTAGGCCGAGAATCAGTGCTTTTCGATAGAAATTCGTAGAAGAGTGTTTTCTGCAAACCTAAGCGCAAATATGGTGGTTTTCTCTAATTCACTCGGTCTATATCACAACATTCTTTGCAGTGCTCTAAAACATCATATGTTTGGGTCTCTCATTGGCTTTGATTAACTTACTATTTAAGAAAAAGAACATATTAACTTACTCATCCATCAGCTACAAAACAAAATCTTACTTCTCCATTAATTTTCATGACAGAAACAGATGTACAATCTAATTAAAGGATGGAAAACAATTGTAAGATAAAACTTGAGAGCAACTCCCAACAAACAGGGAGCTGGAATAGTTGCTGGACTGAGACGATACAGCAAGGCCCCGCCGGCCGAGTGGCTCTAGACTAGGTGGGCGTACATACGGTAAACTTCAATCAAGCAAAAGATAAGTTAGGTGTATTGCTCTTATTACATGCACATATAATATGGCATGGCCAGGGCGTGCGGTCGGCGTGGTGATGGCGGGTGATCCATTGGATAGATCTCTCAAGCCGAGGCCGCGAAACCCTCGGCGGTGAGGTTGACTGTCTCCCTCATAGAGTTGCGCTTGAAGCAGTTTTCGCGGTACTCACTTGGTCCGCCCACGGGCAAACGCGCCATCTTTGCCATGGCTTCGCCGAACTTCCAAAAGAAAAAGTTCTTGTCGGTAGCCCACTTGTGGACCAAATCTTTGATGAAGGGGTCGTTGAGGAGCTCCATGTCGGTGCTGAGCACCCCCTTGCCGTCCACGATGTTCTTGTAGTACTTGTGGTCGAAATCGTCGGGGGTGTCGACGTCGAGCACCTGCTTCTTGTCCCATGAGCCGGGGCAGTTCATTTTGATAGCTTCGACGAACCAGGCGGCGTCCCCAGTGCGGCTGGCGAGGTTGGGGCAGCTTGTCTTGCCGATGGTGTGCGCGCCGGAGAGCGCGGCGAGGTCGGTCCTGTCGAAGCCGCGGCTCTGGAAGACCTCGATGAGTTTCCAGATTTTGGCGTCGGGGGCGGGGAGGAACTGGTTGACCTGGTCAATCCTGGCGGGGTCGATGCTGTCCTTCCGGCCGAGCTGCACGCCGTAATCTGGCCCCCCGGACAGCTTGATGGCTTGCCGGGTGGCCAGCATGGTGATGTCGGCGCAGGATACTTCCGTGCATTTCGCGTCGCGCACGGCGTCGCGGATACGCTGGATGAGATCGAGCGCGCCCTGGTGCAGCCCTTGGTTTTGGGGACGCTCCCGCGCACGCTCGCTGGAGTAGAGGTGACTTGGCTCCAGCAGGAGCGACGCGTCACAGCCCTACACGATGGATCCACAAGATACACGCACATACTTACTTTATAAATAATACTAGTAGGAGTAGTAGGTAATAAATACTAGCACCAAAATCAATCAATATAATAGTACTACTACAATGTAGTAATTAATCTCTTTTTTTTTGCGGGTGACTATAATGTCGTAATCAATATACTATTACTAGTATAGTGTTAAAAAAACGACATTATGGGACGGAGGATTAGACACCAAGTCTCTCTTTCAAGGTCACTGTACGTACGTACCTAGCTAGTGTACTAGTAATAGTGTAATATGTACATGTCTGTAGTACTTGTTGGTTGGTAGGAGCACGGACAAACGTACGTTAGGGAAGCAGTCATGGAAGAAGATGCGGAGGAGGCCGGCGACCACGCCGATGTCCCATCTGCGCGCCTCCGCCACCTTGTCGAGCACAATTTTCTCCAGGTTGGGGCAGAATGTGGCGTGGACGCCGTAAGAGTGGTCGCCGACGTTGTCGGTGGGCATGGAGATGAACCCCGCCGCCGCAGCAGCAGCAGGGCACACCAGTGCGGCCAGGAGGCCCATCATGGCCAACACCATTGCACCGCTCGACGCCATCGGTCCAAGCTCAGTGAGCCTCTTCTAGTGAGTGAGGGAGTGAGTGAGTGAGAGTGTGGGTTCCTCACGTCCAAGATGCTGCCATTTTATAGCAGATGGAGGCACTCGCTCCCTCACCCACTAGAAGAGGCTCGATCAACGCCTAGTCGGACATCCTCTAACCATCCAATATACATTAAGGGTTGATGACAATTGTTTGCACTTACAACCTGCAGCTATCGCAGTTCTATGCACTACCCGCAAAGACCAGATGCACCGTCTCTGTTCCACCCCTGTCACTACAACTGGTTCCTTTATCTGTATGTAGTCTATAATGAAATATCTAAAAAGACTTATATTTAGGATCAGAGTGCGAGCGATAACAGATTTTGGCCGTATATATACACATTCCACCCTCCGTGGAATTTTTCTATTCAGCGCGTGTATACGAGCGCTTGTGTCTGTACTGATGTTCAAAAAAAATATTAAAAAAAATCAGATCTACTGCAAACTAACCTGTGGTTGGATGGTTAGAGGGACTGTGGTATTCCCAGCCCACCAGGGTTCAAATCCTGGTGCTCGCATTTATTCCTGTGATATACCGGCTCAGTCTTGCGAACGCAAGAGATGATACTATGCATGGCACAAATATACAAGGCGTGGGCATGATGCTCGGAGCAGAGAGACATGGGATGCTCAGTCCCTAAACTCGCCCGCCCTAGGAAGCAAGCCCAAAACAAACCAACACGACGACCAACATTAGATAATCGGACATCGGGTTTCCCCCGCTGCTCGAAGAGAGACACAGATGACGCCCATGGCAGCCCTTCCGAGAAGGGTGTGGCACCCGCGGGTGCCGCCGCTGCCGGCATCGAAAGGCCGAGCGAGGATTTCGCCCTGGGCAAGAGCCTGAGCAATCCCAAGCCGTCGGAGCAAGATTTGGGGAAGATGAAGACAAGTCGTCGGTCGGAAACCGCCACCACATGAAAGAAGAAAATGAAACGCTTCCGATATATCATGGACTTTTAAATAGTATGCGTTTGGTGTATAATATAACTTTCAAATAGTATGCTTTTTGGCATATATAACTTGTTGTGCTTCTGGTAATGAAATATCTAAAAAGACTTATATTTAGGATCGGAGGGAGTAGTATTTTTTTCCGAAAAAGGGTTTCCCCCCGCTTTGTATATAAAGCAACCAACCGGATCATACAGGGATAGGTGCTGGGGCGGAATCAGCACAGTCACGCCCAAAAGAAACAACAGAGAAAGAGCAAAAGAAACAAATGCCGACAACCGCGGATCAACAAAAACGAAGAAGCCTCGCGATCGCTAGGCCCACCGGTCTTATCCACTAGGCTCCAAGACTCCGAAGCGCCGGCACCAATCAACACCTCCAAGAAGGATCGCGACGATGACGACGCTGCTGCCAAGGGTTTCCCCCGGTACACGACGAGGCGATAGGAAGAGTAGCCCCCGACGCCCTCCCGGAAGGTCAGGCGGCACCCACAGGCGCCACCGCGCCGGGGTCGGCCACGCCGACAGCGGTTTCCCCCGATCCCAACCCGCACCTCGGGCGCTCCGGATCCCGCCACCAAACCAACCACCACCCTACGCCAACGCAGTCATGAGGCCTCCACGCCGTCTCACCACGGCACCGCGAAGTGAGAACAGCACGACGAAGAATCAGAGCCGGGACTAGGGCATCAGCACCATCGGCACGCGGGAGGGCCCCACCTCCACCATCAGCATCAGTGGCCGTCCGGACGCAATAGCAGGAGCACACCAGGCCCGTAGGCCCACAGGCCCGGCCGAGCCCTCGTGGGCCCGTAAAGCTCCCGCCTTCGCGCTGCTGCCGGCACGCCATCGACGCCGACGCCCCAAGTCCGAGCCGCTCCTCCTCCTCACCGCGCCGCAGACAACGAGACCATGCCGGAGGGCCGGCCCCCAGGGGCCCAGATGGGGCCCGACGTGC